TTAAGTCTCGCCCAAGGAACACGCGCTTCACCTTGGAGTGAGAACCGTGCGCGAGCCGTGGTTGTAGGTGGACGCGGAAAACGCGGTTGCAGGCTAATTTGCGGCAGTGCTAAACGAGACGTTTGGGCCGGAGCATCAAGAAACAGGGCTAGACAAAGGCGGCGGCAGGAGGCGAGAGGAAAGCTAGCGAATGAAGGTGAAGGAGGGATGAAGCGGCGGGAAAGCGAGGCAAACTCCAGACGAGGCTTGAACTCGCGCGAACAGCGCAGCTAGCAGTAATTATCTTTGCAGCGGGAAATGTTATTTACTCCGTTTCTCTATTCCCTCCTTCTCGGACATTTGATCTTCTCGATGGGAAACTTCACCATTTAGCCGCGGCACGGACATGAAATTTTACTGCTTGTCTTGGCGTCACACGCAAGACATACAATTATGACTGTCGAAACGTCACTTACATTCGCTCGCGCACAACGCAGCGAGGCCGTACCGGTCGACCACAGGCCATTCGGATAGAAAACATTTCCGAGCGAAAAGCAACCTTGCAGATTACGAGACCATGATGTGAGCGAGCGAGCGAGAGAGAGAGAGAGAGAGATGAGACTCCGAATTGTCCGGCCTTTGTGTCGCTGACACTCTCATAACCGCTGATTCTCCCTCTATCGAAACCTTCCTTTACCGCTAGGTCGGTTTTATCAAACGAAACTAGCCATAATTGCACGGCACAATTACAGGTTGCTTGTGGCTCTCTCTCTCTCTCTCTCTCTCTCTCTCTCTTCCTCCCTTTCTCTCTGACTGTTTCCGCGGCAGCAGTTACACTCGTCTCCTCTTTCTATTTCGATGTCTGCACCACCGACAGGACGTCCAATCAGCACCTGGATTAAGTTAACTGCATCGGCACCTTTTAGATGGGCTTGTTCACAGCGACAGTCACCGATGGAGATTGCGCAAAAAGGAAGAGAACGAGAGGCGGGACGTCACCCCGCTGGCCGGGGAGACACTTGACTCGGTTACGATGGAGGTGTCTGACGGAAGTGGCGAATTATAATTGGGGGGCCGTATTCAAGAGGACGGTCAACCGAGGCACAATGGCTGTTGAAAGCGGGGTCGATAGTGTGAAGTAGTCGCAGAGGCCGTCATTGCAGACGACTCGATCCGAGCCAGATGTGTGTAGTTGTAAAAAATACAGTTCAATTCGACGATAAAAATGTCATTCGTGCTCGTGACAGCGTTGAAAAGTAATCGGTACCACAGTGAGAAGGGAAGGAGAGAGATAGATAGAGGTAAAGAGAGAGAAAACACACGCGGTGTAACGCCGTATTGTGTAAATTTATCTTCAAATCTCTCTTCCGCGCTCGCGCGAGGAAGTGAGAGAGAGAGATAAAAGCGGCGTTCGATCGGGCCGAGTGTCGTACGTACTCTGTACGTAACCACTTCCACCCATTCAGCGGCCGGAGAAGAAGGTAATTACTTATCGTTCACGGTGTGTGTTCTTCTGTTCCACTTCCAACTATGTGACAACGAAAAAGAGTCGTGAGAGACAAGAAAATAGGAAGAAGAAGAAGCGGAGCGGCAGTAGAAACGGGAGTTTTATCCGCGACAAAGCGAACGCTGGAGGATAAAAAAGGAAGAAACAAGAAAGAGGTAAAATATCGTGGGATGCAAAACACCGTTATTTACGTGGGTCGAGTCCGTACACTCGAGTGAAACGTACTTAACGGAGTCCCCCTTTTTTGCCTCGCTATGATACGACGGCGTAAATTGCAAGTCGTTCCCTACTTAGAGCGCGATCAGAGACCGGAAAATGCTACCGTGCAGGAAAGCGTTCAGGAATCTTGGTTAAAGCGGTGTTAAGAGCAGTTAAGAAGATAGCGCAAGCTAATAAGGCGGACGAGCGATAAGTACATAGTAAAGGGCGGAACACGTGGTACCCGAAGCCGAGCGTTGATCGTCCACCAATGTCGAGAGAGAGAGAGCTGAGTGGGGGGGGGGGAGGAGGGGGAAGAACGAGGGAAAGGTGCATAAAAGCCGTCACCGGGAGGACTCCCCGGCTTTCATAACCGCTGGACAAGTTCGCGGTAAAACTGGTGACGGTAGATAACGACGAGTGAATAACACGCCGGGCAAAACGATGGGATAACTTTGGGTTGTCACATTATGAACGAGTGAGCTGCCGACCCTCCTCGTGACGCCGCACGTAATGGGGTCATCGGCATCCCCTTCGGCCTTCAGACCGCCGGCAACCCCGTGAAACATTATGGCGAACCATGACCTCCGACGACTTATGCACCGCTCTCGCCTCGATGGAGATACGCTAACGAGACATCGACGACATTTTCAAGCAAATGCAAATGCTGCGGCACCATCACCGAGTCCGAGAAACTACTCGCTCTCCCTCTCTCTTTCTCGCCACTTCCAGCACAATATGAATTTCACTCCAATTGAGACGTGACGGAAATTAAAGCGTAGTCGCGAGAGATAATTAGGTGTTGCCGCATTGTCGCGAGTTCGTGTTTTATACTCGATTAAGTGGTGCAGAGTGGGAAATTGATGAGAGGCACTTTACTCGATAAAATTTTTAATGCAAATCACATAGACAAGGGAGATCAGTACACGCGCGTGCGGCCTCGAAAATATTTTATATTAATATTATATCCGTCGGTAATTAGTAGATGAATGCATCAACAGCGCATTATTCAAGAAGCAATTTCGGGCAGCCGCGTGCTACCGTGTGCTAATACACGTATATTTTTCATGCGTTACAATATACAACCCGTCGATGAATTTAAAATTAAAATAGTTCTCTATGTTGATTGTGAATGAATAATATTACTGCATATTCATATCCTGCCGTGCAATCGCAGCCACGCACGCCCGTTTCTCCATCGTTACCGGATATGAAAATTTGGCGTAAAAATTTCTCGAACAAATCCCGCATAAGTGTTACTTCAATTTGCGGCAGCTCAAAGCGTTAATTGTCTGATTGGTAATTGATTTGTACTAGTTCCTCGAGGAAAAATTTGACTGTCTGACTTGTCCTTGACTCATACTACTCAAAACTAATTTTTCCAGTTTTTTCGTCATTCTACTTGTTGTTGATTCGTACTACTCGAAAAAAAAAAAATTGTTTGCCCTCTGGTTTATCGTTGACTCGTACTTGTATTATTTTTTTTAATATTCACATTCAAAAGTCTAGAAAGTGTGAAGCAAAAAATAATAAAAAGATAAATAAAAAGAAAGCTTAACTGATTTGAACTTATATTTATTCTTACTTTATATTTTGTTTCTCTAGTAAGCATAGCACAATATAATATAAAAATATATAAAATATAATAAAATATATAATATAAAAATATATAATGCGATATGATAATAATGTTGGTAATGAATGAAGAGGAGATATTCGCTTGCAATCAGTTTTAAGGAAATTAAATCGTGCAAAACGATTTTTAAGAATTACTTTCGAGAGGTGGTACAAATCTTTAAACACATATGAGGAAAGTGCATATTTAAAAAATTACGTGTCTCTTATTTTTAATCGTTGTAAAATATACTTCAAACCTCAGCAAAATCCTTGTTAGTCTTGGAATTTTCCAGGAGAGTTCTCTTTTAAGACCCGCCTATCCGCCTCATCTCTTAATGATCATCCGTCAAAGAGACCTTTCTAATGAAATGTTTTGCTGTTTTGTTGCAGACGGGATCCCGTGTCCGTGGAAAAAAGCTTCTTGATCTGGGCAAAGCCACTGGAGGATTTAACGAAAGACGGATAAAAGTCTACGCGAAGGCCGCCAGGGAGCGGGGGAGGTAGAGAAACGCGGCTAGCGGAGAGTCAAAGATAGAGAGAAGACGGAAAATAGTGGAAATGGTCCGGCACATGTTACGGGTGTAAAAAAGATACGGTGGGTTGGGGAGGGATGGAGAGGAGAAGAGTAGGAACGCCGTTATTCTCGCGATCGCCGTCGGTAGAAGCGATGATTGTGTCTTCATGTTATACCCGGAGGAGCGGAGTAATACGTTTCAAGGAGGAGGAACGTGAAGTATAGAGCGCATAAATCAGGATTCGCGCGCGCAGAAATGAAAATTCTGTCTCCGGCTGGAGGAATAACGGCGGCGCGAGAACCGAAAATCTTACGTGACGTAAAACTCGCGGCCGATGACGCGGAAAGAGAGAGAAAGGAGGGAAGGGGGAAGAGAGTGTCTGATAAACAACGCAACCCGGTGTCGTCGCTCTTCTTCCTCTCCCTCCTCTCGCCGTCTCCCCGCATAAAATCTCCATATTCGTCGCGAACGGCAGTGCAAACATACGCGTGATTTAATCCGTGTGTCAAGCACCAATTAAAACGAAGATACATGATCGCGCTTAATTAACTAATCTCCGCTGCTTCGCGAATCAATTGTACCACACGGCCGCGCTCGACCGTGACTTAAAGCTCGGAAGGAATTAATCAAGCTTGAGTGAAAAGAAAAAAAAAGCAGCGCGCTCTTTCTCCGATGCATCCATGTATCCGTTCCGTCATTAACACCGTCCTGATATTACCCGTCGGCTTTCCAAAGCTGACTTCCGCCACTGATTGCTCGTTGCTCGGGAACCCCGTTCGCATGGCCGATCCTTCGCTCCAAGCACCGAGCGCAAGATGGAAAATTGCTTCAATGAAATTCCCCCGAGAACCGCCCCGTCGAGTCGCGTGCAGATGTTATGCGTACGTGCAACGTCGTATCCTGCTAATTTCCTTCGAGCCCCGACAAATCCGTATCGCGATGCTACAAAAATACCGGCTATTAAGCGCGCGACGGGATAAAACGGCGCAGGAGTATCGACAGTTTCGTTCGATTGCATAGATATTCACCGACTGTGACGTATTGTCGCATAACGCTCTCGGACCGGAAAACCGGAGTGGAAAACGGGAAAAGAGGGAAAAAAGGGGAGAGAAAAAGGGACGAGTCGAACGAGAGGGAGGGAGGGAGGGAGGGAGAGAGAGAGAGAGAGAGAGAGAAAGAGAGAACGAGAGACGTAGCGAACAAAAGCCGGGAGGAGTAGTGGCGAGGTATGCCGGGGAAGATGATACCGAGACAGAGAACTGATTGAAAGGAGAGAAAATGGTGACTATCGAGGCCGCTAGTGAAATGAGTGCGGTACGCCGGGCTGTGTGGTTCAGTGCCGTGCTATTCGCCGCGACACCCTTGGCCTACACTCAAGTGACGTGGACGCCGATCTACGTGGGTGGATACAGTGAGTACAATCCTAATTTCTTTTCCGTCGATGTAAAGATCAGCGTATCGAGCAAGCGAAGGATTTCACTCGCGACGAGACCCGTCTTGATGCGATACCGTCCTCTCCCAAGACGTGCGCCTTCGAACCTTTCACCAAGAGCGAACAAATCATCTTGGTGTCAGTAATATTAATTTGCAGTCGAAATATAAAATAAATCCAATGCAGTATATGCACTTTTTCGATAGTAATACAGTACACCACTGTTTATTGATCATTCCGCGATGTGACGTAATGCTTTGTAAATACAGATGGCAGGTCTTGAAAACCACGATCGGGCAGGGGAGTATTTAGATTTAAAATACTCACGAGAGATGAATGAAACCACCGGAAAGAACCGGTTTAATTTATACACCTAATATAACTTGTTGTCGTAACTCTTGAAATATTCCGAATCCTCCGAATATTCAAATGATTCAGTTGAGACACGCACGTCCCGCATTATCGCATTATTATTATTTTCATATTAAATCCGCCGGAAATGCGGAACACGGCAACGCATCTCTTTTTGATACGGTAACTCGTTAACGTTATTCACCGGCGACCCGCGTAGCGAGCGACATTTGCGCCTGTCACAAATCTTCATTAACGGACGGTAATACATTATGATAAGTTACGCTTCGGGCGATGCCGTCGCGTCGTTACGAGCTGGAAACACGTCAAAGTGACCACGCGCTCGCTCGCTCGCTCGTTCGCGTTTCCCTTTTTCACGCGACATATTTTCATTCCTCGTCCCCCGGCGAGGCAGCGGAAAACTGAAAAGAGGAGAGGAGGGAGGGGGGTAAAACGGTAAACGATGAAATATCGCGCGACGTTATTTCTCCCTCCGCGTTTCTGAATTCTTTTTTAACGACTCGAACTTCAGCAATCAGGGAAGTATAGGCGGCTGCGAGAAACGGTGGGCCGCGATCACCTGCAGGACGGATTGATCGCGTCAATTAACGAGCCACAACTGGCCGAAAGTTCGCGAACGAGTACAATTAATGGTGCATCAGCCTCAAGCGCGGCAAAAAAAAAAAGACGTCGAAGTAAGAGGAATGGTATACCCTATCGAAAACCGGTCGAAAGTCCGGCGCGCGTTTGTTTCCGTAACTTTAATGAAACGGCACGTAGAACGTTAATAACGATGTTATTAAACGTAAAGTTAACCAACGCACTCTGTAATTCGTTACTATTTAATCGGGAGTTCGCGCAAAGGGGAGCAGAGCGAAAATATAAAAATTACACGCCCGCCGCGCTTGTAACGCGGTATCGCACGAGAACGCCCCGAGACAGAATTTTTTTCTCAGTCAAACTATGATGGAATCGGGAGCGAATTAGACGATACCGAAGGCGCTATTCGCCGTCTCGATGCGCATTCTCGAATTATTTTCAGCGTCGGCGGGATAAACGAGCCCCGAATTTAATCTATTGCCCGCGTAACGAGAAGCGTCAAACCGGGAGAATGATGATAAATGCATAAAATACTCGCTTAAGAGAAAAGCAATCTCACGAGTATTCAGATCTCGACGGACATTAAATTTTTATAGCCCGGGACATTTATCCGTTAATGCCGTCACTCCGTCTGATGGACGTCGCAATAATCGAATTACAGGAATCGTCCGTCACATAATTTATTACCCGGACGGTTTTAATACATTTTATTGTTAATTACCGCCGTCGAAGCTTAAAATCGATAGCCGCCACCGTCGTCCGCGGCGTTCAGTTTTGCAATTTTCTCGCGCCTTTGTCTCCTCCCTAATGGGATTGCATCGCATAGACGCCGCGGTGATAAGTGGATTGCGGCACGTAACTCACATGACGTATACGCGACGTATACGCGATAACAACGTTAAACACACGGTGTATTGTGGGTGCGCTACACTCTTATGAGATAATCGGACTCAGCGATTCAGATTTATCAACGGAACAGTGATCTTCGCAGCATACATTCGCGCGTAGTCTGTTGCGTTACGTTACGTACGTACAGTACCGCAAGTATCCGAGTATCGAAGATCGATACGTCGGGTTATGACGTGAAAATAGCCGGCCGACTCTCCCAGTTGCCGATAGACAAGATTTTATCCTACATACTCGCGGAAGAGGAGAAACGGGAGATCTGGAATCGATAACAATGTATCTACAGCGGGATGAAATTATCGCACACAAAGAACGATACCGTAAGAGAGTTTAACCGACGTGGAGCTTTACCTGAATGATCATTCGATCCACGTAGAACGGATTGAAAACCAATCACGCTCCGCTCCCGACATAGAAAGATATAGGGCCCCGCTACCTGGAAATCAATCTGAAACGTGCCCGAAGTAACTCAATTTTCTCCAGTTATGTCTAAGGTTACCGTTGCAGGCCGCGTATATATAAGCTGATATGAGATGGGGGAGCGTCCTTGAGTTCGCAACTTCTGCGGAAGTCTGATCGCAGTCTTAATCACTAGAACTTCATCGTGAGAAATTAAGCACTACCGTTCTGCAACTCCGACGTATCTTACCTTGTTTGTCTTAACGAACAGGTTTCGTAGTTGCGCCTTCCGAGCTTTTCCAAGATTCACTCACTGATGTTCGCGATGGAGGAACGGATGAGAAAGAGGCGTCAAAACGTGCGTGTGGTCCCGACTAGAAAATTTACTCTATAGTCCAGCTCGGGTTGACTTTAATTGGTTATCTGTTCCATTTAAGGTTATACTACTGTGTCCCGAAAAGTCATCTAATGCTGCATGGTAATTAGGACCTTAATCATAGGAAGGATTCATCAATTCATCAGGTTACACTATTAAACCTCTATCATGTTTCATCCCAGATAACGGAACGTATATTGTTAGAATTGCACAATTTTCGACTTTAATACTGCAAAGACAACAAATAAATTTTTATGGAAAGAAATTATAAAAATAAAGTTTATTAATCAAACTAGGTTTGCTACAAAAGGTCCGTATAATGCAAGTCATAATAAAATGATTAAGCCTCCGAAAAGGATCAGTAAAACTTTATATCTCTGATATCGCTAATAGCCTGAAAAATTGTATTCCGGAATCATGGTTGTGCTCGTTGAACGATCCGCTGTAGTGTATCGCGCCGAGTGTATACGTTAACAAGCGCGAGTCCGGTGGAGGAACGCCTTCACGACGACGACAACGACGACAACGAAGACGACGACGACAAGTATCGTCCGCGCATAACCATGACGATGCAAATGTGACGCATTCGCTGGGCGGAATGCCGCTGTATTCAAAGTCCGAAGTAGCGACGTAACGTACAACGTAACCCCAGGTACGGAGAACTTAGCGTCGCGCGCCATTGTGGCACATCAATCTTCCGGATCGTTACGAGTCCTCCGTCCATTTAGCGAGGCCCTTCCGGCTAGAGCCTGACGCCGTCGTAAGCGATGTCGTCGCGGTAACGACTGGGATAGGACAAGCGGATCCTTTAAAACGTGATCCAGAGGGGGGAGAGATCCGTCGGAATAATTCAAGCCGCAAACATCGTGCTGGCTGGCTGATGGTGGATCAGGGACGCGAGAGAGGAGGGGAGGGGGAGAAAGATAGAGACCCCGGGAGAGTTTCGGACGAGCGAGCGAAATGGTTGAACACACCGTCGCGCCGGCTCGTCGCTGAAGACTCTCCTTCGCAGTCTGTTGTCGTCGGTAGCAGACTGTACTCTAATTAACGGCGGGTAACAAGAGCACCCGGGAGAAAGAAAAAGGGATGGAGAGTCGTAATAACTCGTGCACTGTTACGTCGCGGAATCGCGTGCAAAAGTGAGGAATGGTAAGAGGGAAAACGGAGGAGAAGTTGGAAATAATGTGGACGCGTGCAAGAGAAACCCGGCTAGAAATTTACCCCATGATTCAGCTAAGGCTGACTTCAATCGGTCGTTAGATCCATTCGAGATTATACTATCGAGCCCTAAAAAGTCATGTAACGCTACATGACAATCAGAATCTTAATCCGGATTCATTATATCCTCATCAGGTTGTATTATCGAGTCTCCATCACGTTTTACCTCAGGTAACGAGAAGGATTATGGTCAGATTAGGATCTATAAGGAGCAGGGAGTACTAAAAGGTACTAAACTAATAAAAGTACAAAATATAAATGGAAGCACAAATATCGTTAGTATTGGACAATTTTCGATTCTAATGATTTGCCAGAATAACAAATAAATTTTTGGTAAAAATTGGTACCATAATAATCACGATTTACCATAACAATAACGATTACTTTGCGCTCATCTAATTAGGACCCTGAGCAATATCAGATGCAATACCGGATGACAACTTCTGGACGGGGAGGGAGAATGAGCTCGGTAATCCCTGTTACATCGATGTTTCGAGTGCGTCGTCAGAAAATATTGTCGATTAATTAATTAACGCTCGATACATTCAGCGGATAGCTCGAGAGATTCGATCGGAGATTCCCGAGTTGCGCGAAGAGACACGGAGAGGTTGAGGCCTGTTAACGCATCCGGTGAACGCGTGCGATACATCCAGAAGACTAACTAATGCAAGCAGAATTCGGAGATGGATGGTCCCCCGCGTCACGTTAAGCCGACATAAATGGGGTCGGGAGCGTGTCATTTGTCATGTGACTTTATGTGTGTCGCTTTGCGCGAGTTACCGATACTGAACGTTCGGTGGCGGTTCCGAGAGTATCTTGGTGTTCTCATCGCGGCGTGCGGCACTTTTTTATCGTCGTCGCGAGTGACAAATTTCACAGCCGCCGTGGATAGGTTTATGGACGACGCATCGTCGCGCCGTGGCGGTTTAATAAAGACACGAAAGCCGTAACGTATCGATATCGGCGCCCACGACGACGGAGGGTAGGAGGGGAAGGGAGGAGGCAGAAGTTGCGCCCTTTGCGTTCGTCGTCGTGTGGTTTCGCATCGGCCGGTCCCTTTTTGGATTTCGCCGGCGCGGCGCGAAGAAATGGATCGATAACGCGATATCTTGCACATTACAGCGCAGAG